TCCTTCACCTTCAATGCAATTCCTATCAAAATCTCAATGTCATTTTTTGTTTTGCAGAACTTGGATAAAACATCCTAAAATTTCTATGAAATCTCATGGGTCTCCAAATTGCTATGCAAACTTAGAAAATGCATACATTCTGGGAAAGATACCAAGTTTCAAAAATTAAGATCTCTATGACAAAGACAAACTGAAGAGTCCCTGGTGCCACAAATATATATTTATTATTATTCAAAAAGAGACAGCCTCATGAACAAAGATTTCAGTTTAAGGCTCCTTAGTCTGTGCATCTTGGTAAAGAATGAATCATTAGATGACTCAGACCCTGCATCTCCATCAGTCTGAAATATTTTATTTGTGTGTGTCTGGCCTGTTTTTTAAGATGTCTGGAGGGTTCCAAAGAATCAATCATACTAGACTTGCAGTTGCATTTAAGGTTTAAGAGACTGTGATTAATCTAATTAATAATGTTTAAATTCTCAAGGAAAATGGATTTTCAGAGTTATATCACCTTCATAAACAAAGTACCAATACGATTGAGCATTCTCCTCCATGGACAAAGACCTCCTAGATATTCAAGAAACTAACAACAGTCTATTATATTAGTTGAAATTAAGATCACCTGAAAGTAGCTATAACCCCAGGGGCTACAACTAGACAGAAGCAGGGCCTCTGAGGTTGGCCATGCAGTCTGTTCACTTCAGGACTCCAAGGCTCTGCCATGAGAACAGTGCCCCGGGCTTGTGCAGCATGGCAGCACTGGACGGACACCTACCTCAAACAGGAAGGTCCAGGTGTAAGCTACAGAGCTGGGACAATGGCTCCACAGTCATTTAGGACCCAGGCTGCTTTCAGCTTTCTGCTATGCCATCTTTGGGATGTGTAAGGCCTTCGTCCTCATGACCCCAAATGTATCCAGTTATAACATCTGTGTTCTGTCAGCTAGATGGAAGAGGAAAAGGGGCAGAGAAGCAAGCTGCCTGCCTCCTAAGGGAGGGTCCCAGAAGCTGCCCTATGGCACCTATGTTCACAACTCCCTGACCAGGACTTAGTCACTTGGCCACACCTAGCAGCAAAGGAGTCTGGGAAATGTAGCCTTTATTTTGGAGGGCTGTAGAACTTGCTAAAAATCAGGGGTTATACATTCTGAAATAAGGAGAATAAATAGAGTGGGGCAATTAGCAGTCTCTACCACATAGGTGAGAAAGTTTTTAATAGTAAATGTGAAATGCATATGTACTGGGTTAGATAGTAACCCCCCCCCAAATTCATGTCCTTCCCAGAACCTCAGAATGTGACCTTATTTGGAAATAGGATCCTTGCAGATGTAATTATTTAAGGTGAGGTTATACTGAAGTAGGGTGGACTCAATCTAAAATGACTGGTGTCCTTATAAGAAGACACACAGACACGGACTCGCAGAGAGAAGCCCACATGAAGACAGAGGTTGGAGGGATGTTTTACAAGCCAAGGATTGTGGGCAACACCAGAGGGGAAAAGGCCCCACCTGCAGCAGACACAGGAAAGATCGTCCCCTAGAGGCTCCCCTAGAGCCTTCAGAGAAAGCACAGCCTGCCCAGTGGGTATTTTGGAGAACATCCGGGTAAAGCAAAGTGAGTGCAAAGGCCCTGGGGTGAGGCCCTGTGTTTGCAGAGCAGCATGGAGGCAAATGTGGCTCTGAGTGTGGTGTGAGCTGGGAAGCTGTGGATGAGGGAGGGGTCGGGACAGCCAGGGGAGGGGAGGAGCAGCTGAAGGAAGGAATGGGGATGGTGCAGCTCAGGGAGGGCTGAGTAAGCCCTGGTACAGGATTGGGTTGATATTTTGAATGAGTCAGAGAAGTCAATAGTTAAGGAACCAATCAGGAGCTCGGAGACTTCTACAGACCCACAGCTTGACTTCTGACATTCCTTCTCTCAGTCTTGGTGAAAGCGAGTAAAAGGGAGTGGTGTCCATTAACACCCGCTTTGCTGAGGGCTTGCGGAGCCAAACCCTGTGGCGGCCTCTGGACACTAACGGAGACATTGCTAAGTGACTGCGAGTCGGGGGCAGGGAGCTTATACAGGGTGGAGACGCTGGACAAAGGGATGACTCACAACCTGGGCAGCTCGGGGAGGGAAGGCACAAGATTTCACCACGCTACTCAGAAAGGCGCACAATTTAAAACTTATGAATTATTTCTGCAAGTTTCCATTTCATATTTTTGGACTGTCGTCATCTGCAGGTAACTGAAACCATGGAAAATGAAACTGTGGACAAAGGGGGCTCTTGTAGTGCGACACGGGTTCAAATTCCTGGCTCACTCACATCCTAGCTGTGCAGGCTTGAATAGCTAACCATAAGCTAAGTACTTGTTCCCCACCCATAAAAAAAGGTGCAGTAATAGTGCCCGAGCATCAGATGGACATTTGGACCAGGGTGCCTATGGGACTTTTCTTGGAGACCCAGAATTAGGATGAAGGCTCAAAGCTGAAGACAAGGCACGCTCAGTCCCCCGCTTTCTAAAGGGTTATCTAGGAGCTGCCAGCCTGCAGGCCGGGCCAGACTCCTCCCCCGACCCAACCCATGCAGGAGCTAAGAGGTGGCAGAAGCACAGCCTTGGCACACCCACCCCACCCATTCCTTCTCTCCTCTCAACCCTGACCGCAGCGTTGGGCATGCATCCGTCTACCCTCGTTTCCAGCTCCCAACCACTTCCCACCCATCACCGAATTAATTTTCACTCTACACCTGGAGGACACAGACAACTGAAGGACCTGTCCAAGGTCATGGTCAGTACCTGGCAGACCTGGGCCTAAACCCCAGGCTGAGCCCGGGGGCTGCAGCTCCTTCGTCAGCAGAACTGTGTGACACCATCAAAAGGAGAAACTGGATGCCCAAGAGCTTTTTTTTAAAATCATCTTTAATGTATTTTTTATAATTTTTTGCCTCATTTACCAGATAAATCATCTAAATAAATAGATGCTATACAGTCTCTTACCAATATCAGTACAAAAATAAAACCGAGCTCTGCATCCACTCTGGCTCTCCCCAGCACACAGCCACTCAGAAAAGGCTTGTGCTGGGGGTCAACTCGTGCCCGACCCCTCCCAAATACATTCATTAAGTCTGAACAAAGCTCACCGCTCATTCTGTGCAAAGGAAGCGTTCGTGTGCTGAGACCTGGAGGCCAGGCTGGCCGCTTATAAAGCAAAAGCTATACCACCTTCCAGAAGCATAGCGCCTTCCTCCAGCAGGACAGCAGGAGGAAGTTGGCAATGGAACCAAGGGGGCGATGACCACTGCGCTGCCCGACAGGCTCAGCTGCTGCATTGAGTGGCCTTGCCCGGGGTGGAGCGCATGCTCGGTCCAATCCCACAGCAAAAGAAAAGTACCGAATGGTCTCTACATTCAAACAGGTGGGGGCGGGGGAAAGGAGGGGCAGGTGGTCCGACGTTTCTGGGCCCCCACCCACGAATGTACTGGCCTTCTGGGTGGTGGTGAGGGATGGGGTGGGAGGTCAGTGTCCGCCTTGCCCCCGCTCAGGCCATGCCGCCCGGCTGGGACACTCAGGGCTGGGAGGAGGCCTGCAAGCCACACCAAACCCCTCACAGAGGTCTCTGTCCTGATGGGTGGAGGGGAAAGGTCCCAACAGCCCACAGCCCTTCCCCCAAGGAGCCGCTCCTGTGGGGTTCAGCCCTCCCTGAGACACAGGCCATCAGCTGTGTCAAGGGCTGAGTACGAGGCAAGTGTTATGTTGCTGCTGACAGAAACAGCTGCCTCGTTACACCAAAGAGCCCCTAAACCCCAATCCTGCAAATTGCACAGGAAAGTGCCCGTGAGGCAGGAAGCGTTTTCGTGTCCCCAGAAGGATAGGGACTTTGACTTCTACTGGAAACTGCCAGCCATGTCCCAAAGCCATAAGCCAACAGCATTCTATTAGAGAGAGGCCCCCCCTGCTCACCCACCCTCCAGCCCCCTCAGCTCTGCTGGGAGCACGGGCCCTGGGACAGTCCCCAACTCCAGCTGCCCTTCGCCTCCCAGGGGTCCCACAGCTGGGCTCCTTTTCCTGACCACCCCCGCTCACTCCTGTAGATTCAACTCCCCAGGTTTGGGGTGATTAAGTCACCCAGGAAGGGATCGCCCCCAATGGAAGCACTGAATTGACCCTGGACAGTGAAGGATTATGGAGGAAGGGGAGAGAGACCACGAATTTGGGGATCTTGCGAGCAGGGTACCCAAAACAGAAATGGGGTGCAGGCTGTCTTTGGTTTGGGAACTCGGGAAGAAGGGGTCTGGGAGAAAACGGCCCTATCCTTGCCTGGGCAGGGCTTCTGCCGACTTCCTCAGGGCACAGAGGGAGGGGGAGGAGCGCCAGGGGAGGGCGGGCAGCAGTGGCAAAGGGTAGAGGGGGTCAGCCTTTTGCCTGCTCCCCTGGGGCACCCCACAATGTGGCTTTTCCTCCTCTACAGGGCTGGGATAGGGGAGTCGTTCCTCATTGCTGGGGGAGCTACTAGTCCACAGGGCAAGTTTGTGCAAATAGAGAGCAAGTGCCCCTTCCTCCTGGCAGCCACAGCCCTTCGCTGGGCACATGGGGCGGGCCTGTGGACAGCCTGACCGCAGGAAGACATGGCAGAGGTCCCCCACGGGGAAACAAGGCCAGCCCCGGCGGCTGTGGCGAATAGGACGGGTGTGGAGGGGACACAAAACCTAAGGAGGAAGAGGGTCAGGGGTCAAGGCTGCCCTGAGAAGCGTGTGGGACACCCCTCCCTCCCTGACCACCCACGCCCATACCCAGGGTGGGCTGAGTCGGAGGGAAAGGCAGAAACGGAGGGGAGTGGGAAGGGCTGAAAAGTCACCTGAGTCAGAGAGAACAAGAGCCCCTAGAACAAGAGCCCCTCAGGGAGGAAGCACAGGGCCTGCGTGCCTCAGAGCCGTGCGGACGCCCCGCGCATCGCATCTGCACAGACGCCTGCACTCCTGCGGCTGGCCAGGCAAAGCCGCAAAACCCCATCTGTGTGCCTGGAGCGTTGGAGGCCATCTTGCCCAGGGCAAGACTCCTGCCGACAGCTTCCAGCAAATGGTGTTGGGCTAGATCCTGTCACGTGATGGGCCATGCAAGATGGGGTGAGTGTGGGGTGCCCGTGGCAAGTTCTTCTGTACTGTGAATCACCCCACATTCACCTGATCAAGGTTTCTAAACAGGAGGTTTGCAAGGCTCACTGCACACGTCTGCAGACACGTGCACACACTCACGAGGGCGGGAGGGGCAGTGTGCGTGCGCACACCTGTGTGGCTGAGTGTTTCTCACAGGCCTGTGATGGGGGATGAGGGGGCTCTGCTGGCAGCTGCCCCCAGGGAAAGGCAGAGACCTCTCTGAAGGCTATCAGACACACAGGGCACACCGCAGCAACCTCCAACTTCCTCCTCAGCCTTCTTTCTGACCCTCACTCCTGATCAAGGCAGCCTCCAATCCCACCAAAAGCTGGAGTGCAAAGTTACAAATAAAGAGCCCTCCCCACAAAAAAAGGAAAAGGAAAATCAACCAGAAAGGCTGGAGTAGGCTGCTCAAAGGGGAGGGTTTGGGCCTTCCCACCCTCCTGCAGTTCTGAGGGCCAGCTGCTGTGTCTCTGGAGGAGAATGGTGATGGAGGTGTCCAGGGGAGAGTGGCTCTGTCCCCATCCTGACCTGGAGATGATGCCCCAACTGACAGAGCAGTGCCAGGCCTCCCAACCCCGAGCCCCCAAACAGACCCTGAGGCCTCTCTGTAAACATCACTCCAGAAAAAGGGGCAGGGTGGTGGGAGGCTATTGGGATCTTCCCCCCATTCCTGTTCCATATTTTTTTAAATAAAATAATTATCCCACTCCCAACCCCTCCCCACCTCTGGAAGTCCCCACCCCAAGCCCAAAAGAAAACAGTTTAAGAAAAGTAGAAATGGTGATTCAGAACTTCCCACTGCGGTCTCGGAAGAAGCCCTCAGCGGCCTGGGCCTCACGGAAGGTGACGGTGATGGAGTTGGCGGTGATATCGGTCACTGTCACTTCACTTGTGGGGAGCGCAGGTGTCCAGGGAGGGGGCCCCTCGGCCAGGTCTGCCTCTGCGACAACTGTGGGAGAAAGACAGATAGACAGATGAGGATAGTGCTGACAGCAAGGAGGAGAAGGTGGGAATGGGTGGCAGCATGCAGACCCCCCCACCCCGCCCCAGCACCAGGTCTTCCTCTGAGTCTCCAGCCAGGTCAGGGCCTAGCTCAGGGCTGGACACACAGGAGGAGAGCACATTTATCTTTCCTGCCTGGACCAGAGCTCATCCTGAGCAGGACTACAGAGCGAGCTCTGGGCTGGGTGCCGGGGTCCTTGCAGACTGCGTGGCCTCAGGAGCACCCCATGCCCTCTTAGTGCATTAGGCCAGCTGGACCTGATGACTTAAGGGGCCTTTCCAGCTTTGAGAGTCTCTGGGCCTGGGCTGGGGGGCTGGGCCACCTTACCCTCCTCTTCGGGGGGCTGCTCGGCAGGCTCCCACTCGCTGGCCGCCTGCAGAACATCCTGGGCTGGTGACTCCTGCAGATAGAGCTCCCGTCGATGGCTGTGACTCTCCAGGTTGGGCCCGCGGGGCGGGAACTTCTTGCGTGAGAGCCGCAGGTACTTGTGGGCCTTGCGGGGCTTGCGGAGCGGGAAGGGCAGGGTGGGCACCAAGGGGCCCTTGTCCACCAGCTCGGGCGTCCCTGCCTTGACCACCCCCTCGGGGCTCCCGCTGCCGAGTGGGCGCGTCAGAGAGAAGCAGAGCTTCTCCTTGCCCTTGGCCTTGTGGGAGCTCCGCAGGTCCATGCTGTACAGCCGCTGCAGGGGCAAGCCAGGGCACGGCGGGTCAGCCCTGCGCTCCCACCCACTGCCGCGCCTTCGCTCATGCTGTTCCGCCCACCCTAGTGCCCTTCCCGTTTCATGGCCCAGAGCCAGCCATCACCCTACCCTCTGCCCAGTCCAGCCCACAGAGCCACCCCTGACCGGCCCCGGCCCCAGGCCCGGCCCAGCTCTGCCACTCATCTCGGCCCCACTCAGCAGCCTCATCTGTCCAGGGGGGGCTGTAAGGGACTCGAGGATGGGGGCCACAGGCATAAGCCTTTGGTACACAGCAAAGGAGCCATCAGGAGGTACAAAGTCAAAATTGACTGACAAAAAACAGGCCTGGATTTATGAAGCAGATATATTAAGGAGTTCTTCTTCATTATAGGAATCTTTCTCACCAAAGCACCTCCCCCTCCCCCTGTAGCTGAGACAGCCAGCTCGCCAGGGAGATGGTGTGCGGCAAGGGGCTCTGAAGGTTGTTGGGGCAAGTTCACCAATGGGGACGCACTGCACTGGGTGGCACGGTGCTCTGCCAGCAGGCTGCAGGCACCCCAGGACCCGTCCAGGGCACTGCTCGGCCCTGAGCTGTGGCCCTCTGTTGATGCCCTGCCTCCCTCCTGTTAAAACGGCTGCAAGGGAACATTCTCCCACCACTCAAGGGCTGGAGTTTTGAGATTTGGGGATTTGTCTTATTGACTTTTGGGGGAAATTTAGACAAATTCAAGAAAGATCCTTGGTGCTAAAATGTTGGGAGGGCCTGGCTCACTTGAGGACAGTACCTTCTACTGCTGCCTGTCACCAGAGGCCAAGAGCTCCTAGGAAGAAAGTGAGGCCATCAGATGGGACCTGTAGATCAAGTGTCTCAAGTTGGGAGCAAAGATCGCAAGTGCAGGCTCCGGTCTCCAGTCCCACCTGTCAATGCCCATCTCTGGGCATGGGGTGTGGGTTGTCATGGTGATGGGAGGAGGGCTGAACTGGGAAGGGATTGGGACTATACTGCCATGCTAGGAGGGCTTATCCTATATGCAGCTTTATCAAAACCCACTCCTTCAGCCTGGCTCGCAGGCCATCACAAGCCCAGGAAACGCCCATAATTCTGCAAGTTGTGCTCCTCTGTCTCCTTTTCCACCTCATCATGAGAGAACCACAGCTACGAACAGGGATCCAGGAGCACCAGGAGGCAGATCTGGGTTTTAATCTGGCTGTGGGACCCTGGGTAAACTGCCAGCCTACCTGAGCTTCAGTTTCTTCATCAGTGAAACGATGAAGCAACTTTGGTAGCCAGCCTCCAAGATGGCCCCAATAACAACTGCCTCTGGGAATTCACACCCGTGTGTCGTCCGTCCCCTCGCACACTGAGTACTGCGGGGTGGGACTTCCAAGGCTAGGGCATCAGAGACCCTGGGCTTCCTCCTCGCCCTCTTTCGTGGACCACCCACTCTGGGGGAAGCTAGCGGCCGTACTGTGAGGCCACTCAGCAGTCCTCTGGAGAGGTCCACGTGGTAAGGAACCATGCTTCCTGTCAACATCCAGCACTGACACACCTGGCATGTGAGCCGCGCTCTGAAAACAGACCATCTAGCCCCAGTCAAGCCTTCAGATGAGCGGATCCCGGGCTGACTGACTGTAACCCAAACCAGAATCACTGAAGAGCTACCTAAAGCACTCCCAAATTCCTGACCCACCGAGACTGTATGATATCACAAGTGTTTATTGCTTTCAGTTGCTTAGTTGGGGGGAATTTATTACACAGAAGTAGATGATAATACCCCTTCCCTAGCGGTTTTCTGTGCAGATGAAGTATGTTCATTTGTGAAGAGCGCTGAGCACAGAGCTGAGCATGGAGAAGATGTCTGACAGGTGCCACTTTCCTTCCGGGGACCCAATTCACACCAAGCCCATGGAACACGCCCTCTGCATGAAGGCAGGCCCATCTACTCTGGCAAAAGCCTCTGGGGATCTACAGTCAAGACTGGACAGGGGGCTGGACCCACTGCACATGGACCAAGAAGACTTATTTTGGCTGCAACACCGGGATGGGCCTCATCAAATTAGGAAGAGGAGGTATTCCCATTCGACGAGAAACCTCAGGCTCACAGAATCTAATCATATAGCACGGTTGCCTCAAATCACACGACTACATCACTTCAGACTCCATCCTCTGTTCAGTGCAAAGCAGTGAGGTCAGCACAGTGCCCCCTGAGACCTGGGTAATGAGATGACAGAGCCTAGGCCCCACCTGGGGCAAAGGATTGGAAAAGAAGGCCCGGAGGTTTCTTTTCCCTCAAAATGACACGATTCTAGGAGATTCCAAGGCTATGGTTCCAGAATTCCAGGAGTCTCCTTTCCTTGGATTCTAAAATTTTAGGCTCCCATGTTTCCTCAATTCCAAAGATTCTGTCTCTAAGGAACTCAAATATTACAATTTGGTGTTTTGAGGATTCTGAGCATCAAACAGGCTCATTTACAAGATTCTAAGCTTTCAAAATTCTAGGAGCCCATTCACCATCTAGCCACCCTCCCTCCCACCACAGCACCTCCCCCACAGGCTATCTTCCTGGGGCACCAGTGCCACAGTCCGACTTTTCCTAACTCCTTCCATTGGACCTTCCCGATAAGTGCCCCTGCCCACAGCACCCCGGGTGGGGCTGAGGAGGGGGCGTGTTCAGCTCAACTAGCTGTGCCATTGCATGGATGGGGCCGGCTGGCGGGGTGAGCAAGGGGGCCTGTGGGTGGGCACCAACGCTGGCGGGTTACCTGCAGCAGAAGCCGCTTGGGTTTCGGACCTCTCTTCCTATACCCCGACGCTCGGTCTCTCTCCTCCCTGAGGTGCAAAGCAGATGGCAGAAGAAAAGGAAACACTGGTGACATTTAAGGGACAGGAAGGTGCCTGTTCCACCCCGTCCTCTGCTGTCTACGGGGGAGAAGGCACCTTCCACCGGCCACCCCACCACCCATTTTGGGGTCAGGGCTCCCTCTTTGTTGCTCTCTTTAGGCCATAACAACAGGGTCACATATTCTACTCTCAGGGCCTCGGTCTTCCCAGCCAACAAAAGACAAGGGCACAGCCACTGGTCCCAATTGCTGAGGTGGGACTCAGGTGGCATTTCCAAAAATATGTGGCTCTTTACTGGGCTCCAGGGTCATGCATAGCTCTGCTCCACACACCACTGGGAACAACTGCCCCCAAAACAATATAGTTCCAGTTTCCACTCTTCTATAAAAACCAGTCAATCAAGATTGCCTTGAATGTCCCAAGGCAACTGATGAGCATGGGAGTGGTTCTTCCCCACTTTTGGGATCCCCCATTTGGGATCTATGTGACTGGTGGAGAGGACAGGTTCCCACTTGTCTGTATTGTCCCGTCAGGGAACAGGAGAAAAACCAGCCTGTATTGAGTCCCTAGGAGATGCCAGACTCTCTGCTGAATGCCTTCTCCACATCCCAAACTCACAAACACACAGGCACACCTTGGGGATGCAAACAAAGCCACACACCACACATACCAGAAATCATGACAGCGATGCCAACAACAGTGCCTGAAGGGGTGGGGAAGTTCAAAGTCATTTCGTCCTGCCCGCTTCCCTTCATTCCATTCACACTTTCTGTGGCCTCACTGCAGAGGCCACAGGGATGGCAGCAGGAATATGAGGGCAGCATTTCGCCCTGACAAGAGAAAAATTCTGAGATGTTCTACATTAAATTCCAGTGGGCCAGAGAGTGGGAGAGACACAGCAGTCAGCCTGTTCGTAGCTGGGGGCCAGCTAACATAGACTGCTGACATTCCTAATGTGATGGAGCCTTAAATCAACCTCCAGGCATCCATGAGACGACCACCAGACACCACCGCATCCTGTACATGCATGAACTTTCAGGACTCTCGCCTGTAACCAATCAAAAGCAGTAAGTACACGGACTTCTTCCTTACATGCTCTGCACTTCCCCTGCTTCATCTTTTCCTGCCCCCCTTATCTGTGGCCAATGTAAAATCTTTCAAAACTTACATCTTTCTTCCCCAAAACATAATGTATAAAACACGCCCGCCAGCTCCAGGATGGCGGACAGGTTGCCTTCTCCACACAGCCCTACTGCTGGTGCTTTAGACCTCACGCCCCAGGACCTGGTCCTTTTCTGGCTAGTACAGCCCCACACACCCTTTTTTGCAAGTCTTTCAGCCATGGAAATTAAGTTCTTCATTTCCCAGTGTCCTTCCTCCTTACTGGGTTGTGTGACCTTAGGCCAGTCTCCAAATCTGAGCTCAGCTAAACCCACGAACCCGGGACGCTGCTTCTGCGCTTCCTCCTGTAGGCACCACCCTCCGTCTCCAGGGCCACTGGAGGCCTCCTGGGGGAGAAGTGATGAGAAGGAGGCAGGTGGGGCAGAGGAAGGGACACGGTGGGGGCTGGCAATGCACCTGGTGGAGGGGCCCGCCCTCCCTATCAGGCCAGCTTCAGCACACCTACCACGGGACCCCAGAACCAGAATTTGAAAGCAGCATCCAGGGCACTCAGATACCCGCTCCCGGAGGCTCTCCAGGACAGACGCCCCAAGCCCTCAAGGCTGAGAATCTTCTCTCAGCACCCAGTTCCAGGCCTAGCTCTACCCTGACCCACGGGAGACACTGGCTGGTCACGTCCCCTCTCCCGGCCTCAGTGTCCTTGTCTGGAGCAAGAGGGTCCCCTCTCAGCTGGTCACCAGGGCTCTTGAGAGGAGCAAGAGAGATCCCTGGTATTTATGAAAATGGAGGGTAGAAAGGCTAAAGTAATAAAGAGGAGCAAGAAAGAGGGAAGCAAAAGGAAAGAGAGGAAGAGGGAAGGAAGCAGAGAGGGGAGAGGTAAGAGCCTTGGGGGAAAATAATGATAATGTATTTATTATATTTATATGTCATTTATTATCATCACATATGGACACTGTACAAAGTACTGCTCTAAAGGCTTTCACCCTCATTACCGCCCTATGAGGGAAGCACTATTACTGTCCTCATTTTATCGTTGTGGAAACTGAGGCACGGAGAAGTGAAGTAACTCACACAACGCCCAATTATGGCGCCTCCGCCGCTGGTGAAAACGCTGAGCCCCAGGCTCCCCACTTGGGAGGGCCAGGCCTCGGGTCCCAGTCAGGGTCAGCAGGACAGGCCTGCAGCCAGGGCCACGGGGCCCGCGCTTCTCAGCTGCAGCCCCGCTGCCCCCTTTTTGTCTGTAAACTGTCAGGGGCCGGGGGGCGTCCACTCTGTCCAGTCCTTACCAACCCAGGGCCTGGTTTCTGTCAGCCCCGGACACTCTGACCAGCTCTGTCCAGGGCTGCAGGGCAGAGGCCACCAAAAGGCCATGGCCCCAGCAAGCCCTCAGGGCCCTCGCACCCCTCCTGGTGTGCAGGGGCTCCCCAGGAGGGCCTCCTTGCCAGCCCCCTTCCGAGTCTCTTTAAAACCCTGCAAAGCAGGTGTTAACATCACTCCCTTTTCACCAAGACTGACAGAAGCGAACCAGATGTCAAGCCTTGGGTCTGTTGAAGTCTCTGAGTTTCTATTTTGTTCCCTAACTATTGACTTCTCTGACTCATTCAAAATATCACCCAAACCCTCTACCAGGACTTACTGAGCCCCCCCTGAGCTGCGCCACCCCCATTCCTTCCTTTAGCTTCCCACAGCTTCCCAGCTCACACCACACTCAGAGCCACACTTGCCTCCACGCTGCTCCGCAAACACAGGTCCTCACCCCAAGGCCTTTGCACTCACTGTGCTTTACCCGGATGGTCCCTAAAATACCCACTGGGCTCATTTCCTCACTTCACTCAGGTCTTTGGTCAAACACCACCACCTAACCACCCAGGTCACCAGCACCCCACCTATCCCTCTTCCTGTCCCCTACCCTGTCTTTGAGCAGCGATCACATCTGATACACGTTTATTAGTGTGCAGTATATAGCATGGCTCTGCACTCGGATGGGAGCCACGTGAGGGTAGGGACATTTGTTGGTTTTGATCCTTGCTGTATCCCCAGCACCTGGAACAGTGCCTGGCAGATACTAGGACCTCAATCAAGACTTGGTGAATAAATCAAAGAATGACTAGCTGACCCCAAGTTACCATCAGGAGCTACTCATACGCATGTGCCGACACCCACGGGTCTACAAAGTGCTTTCAAATACCTCTGCTTCCCATGAGAGCCCCAATAGGCTGGCATGTTATCCCCACTTCCCAGATGGGGAAGCTGAGGCCCAGCAAGGGAAAGGCCTTGCCTGACACCTCACAGCTGGTGAGTGGCAGAGCCGGACTAGGAGTCTAGTCCAGGCCTTTGACACCTGCCCGATGCTCTCCTTACCACATTCCAGGACATTCCGCAGGATTCTTCCAGGGTCACAACCCTTTTGGTCAAGGCAACACCAAGCACTGGGGAACCAGAAAGAAGCTGTGGGGCAGGGACACCCTCATTTTTAAAGGAAGGAACAGTGGGAACTGGTCCTTTGAACCTGCAGCAGGAGACCTCCTGGGGGAGAAGCGATGAGAAGGGTGGGAGGGGCAGAGGAAGGGCCCTGACCAGGGTCAGGGACCCCACCCTGGGTCCTGGTTGGACTCCTTCCCAGCTGTGAGGATCCTGGACAAGTCCCTCAGCTCCCCATCTGTCAGATGGGACCCTCATCCCTGTCTCAGGAGGAAACTGGAAGGGGCCAAATGAAGCGAGTTTAGAAAATGGTCTGCGCTCTATAGGTCGGTGGTTGAGGAGATGCTACAGGACTGGGCTGCCTGATGGTGGGAGGTCAGCAATGCTGGGCTCAGAACAGGAGAAAGGACATGTCAAAGCCTCCCTGCTGAGAGTGCTCTCAGGGCCACAGGAGAAGCTACCAATGACTAGCCAACCAGTGAATCTCAGCAGAGCAAGGGCAAATGTGGGAGACTGAGGCCCAGGCGGGTTTGCCCAGAGGCACTGGGCTAGGAGCGGGCCAAGTGGGGTGGACCAGAACTCAGCTATCTGGGCTCCAAAGCCACACCCCCTCCCGGGCCTTTCCTGAGCTGTACCAGACTCACCTTCTCCTGTTGAGAGAACCCCTAGGGAGCATGTCTCTGATCTGCCCCCAAGGGCATGCCTGGGCATTACTAATACTGCTGCTCATCACATCATACAGGGCATTGCTAGGACACATTTTTACATTCTTCACCGGAACTGAAACCCTACCTTATGGGGAAGTTGCGGCAGGAGTTATTGGGGTGGCCCAGCTTACAGCAGAGAGAACGAGGCCTGGGGAGGGGAGGGAAACAGCCCACATCACTCAACAACAGGACAGGGACCGCGGCCCTTGGCTGCCCTAGACCTGGTGCCCACCACCTTCCCCCAGCTGCAGACCAGACCCGGCTGTCCCTGCCATACCCCGCTACCCATGCTCCCTGTTCAGAGCCAAGCCAGTAGCAGGCTCCCTGGGAAGCCTCTAAGCCTGCCTGTCACCCAGCCCCGTGGCAGGCTGAGCCCCTTACTTCTCTTCATAGGCCATGACCAGGCGGGGGTCCAGGATGTGCTCTTCTGGCTCCCACGTGCTGTACCTGGGAGAGAAAGAAGAGGTCAGAGCTGCCCTGCTCCCCCCAGCATTCACAGAGGCCACAGCTGCTCCACCAGGGTCCACTGTCTGCAGGCCCTCACCCCTTCCTGGTACAGGAAACTGTCACCAACTCCAAGGAGCTGTCCCTGGCCACCCAGACTATGTTAGGAGCCTCCTGGGGGGGGGCTCCAACACCAGAACTCGCCTCATTCTGAGCACTGATCACACCGCCCTACACGTGTCCAACTCCCAATGAGACTCCATGTTCACCTCAGGAGCCCCTGGTGCCTGGAAGGGGGCAGGGCCTGTAAGTCCCAGATTCCCTTCCTAGAAGAGACAAGAAAAGGTGGCAAAGGGCAGAGGCTCTGAGCCCAGTTTCCTGGGTTCAAATCCCAGCACTGCCCTTGCTTGCTGTACGACCTTGAACAATTTACTTAATGTCTCTGTGCCTCGATTTCCCCACCGGTAAAAGGCTCTTGTGCTGATTAAATGTGTTCATGTATCTAAATGTTTAGCGCAGTGCCTGGCACACAGGAAGTGCTCTGTGCTTAGTACTGTTCTGTCCCCACTCCTCCTCAAACCCCAGCCCCAGCACAGCCTTCGCTGCCCTCCCTCTTTGGCACACATCTGTGCCATCATGGCCAGGGTGGAAGTGCCCTTGTAGCAGGGCCTGGCACACAGCAGGATTTAGTAAGTGTCCAGTGACTGAATGGTGCAGTGGTCACATGGCAGACCCCCTTGGGATTTCCCCTGGGGGTTTCTAGCACTCCCAGACCAGAGCGCACCCTCTGTAGGACAGGACAGACCTGGGCTGAGACAGCTCAGCCTTCCTCGTTCCACCTGCACTGTCATTCGCTTAGTATTTGCCTTCAGAGCAGCTCGCTTTTTAGTTTACATAATTTTATTTTAAAAGCAGACTGTATATGACTTCCACAAGTGGGAAAACCAGTATCACTCACCATAAACAGATGTTAGTACATAAAAATTAAAAAATGTAAAACATATATATTGGGTTGTGGGAAACGTCACGATGTATTTTTCCTGTTTTTCATTTCAAAAAAGCATCATGACTTTTCCGACAACCCAATACATATGTGTGTATATATGTGCATGCATACAAATGTACAATATACATACAAACATACAATTATGCCTGTGTGTGCACGTGAGTATGTAGAAACCAAACCAAAGCAATGGACTGTGATTCTGGCCAAGGCCGCACCCAGCTCTCATGGATAAGGGAGGTGAGCAGGTATTAGGAAGCTGTTAGGAGGCAGAAAGGCTGGGCAGAGCCCCAGCCTCCATGGCCTCCAGACCAGCTGAGCTAAAACCTTCACCTCAAACTGTCCTGGGACTGTAAAACCTAACAGTAGTCCTGTCTAGATTGCGCAAGCTGCCCAAGGACTGAATCCTCTCCTTTCTCCACTGACACTGCTGCATACCTACTCCATGTTGGTCCCATGCTGGGCTCTGTACACTCGGCAATGAAGGTTCATGCCCTGAGGACCTTACGGCCCCTGCCCAAATGCCACATGCCCAGCCTGAGCAGGCACAGTCACACCCCTCTTGCTTTGCACATGCTGTGCTCTCCTTCCTCCAGCAAACTCCTACGCATCCTTGAAGAGCCAGGTCCTTGTAGCTTTCCCTGACATCCTCTCTCAGCTGTCCCACTCCCAGCAGGATGAACTCTCCCCTCTGTGACCTTCCTGTCGCACTTGGCACCTGCCATAATTACTGATGAATCCAGCTGGCATCCTGGTAGGCAGATGATAACTCCTCTCCAGAAAGCCCAGCCCAGGTAGGGCCCCCGGGTGCTCTGGGACTGGCTCTAGAAGCCACCGCAGAGTTTCGCTCACCCTGAAGCAAAGGGGAAACTGAAACTGGGTTTGTTTTTTGAATAGTCTGGGTAAAGCCCCAACTATGAGCAATCAGAGGCTGCAGAGACGCCAAACCCTCCTCCCCCAAAAACGAAGCTTGAGTTTCCTCTGCTGGAACTGGTTACAAGAAAGGGGGAATTCTGTGTTGTTCTTGTCGGTTGCCTCACCCTCCCTCTTTCTCTAGCTGTTAAAATGTCTCTACCTCGTTCTGCCCTGCCCACTTCCCGACCGTACTGCCCATTTTTTCTGCCCACTTCCCAACCGTCCTGCCCATTTTTTGTTGATGTAGATGCTGTGTGGTTCCTGGCAAGTCCCTAAACTTCTCTGGACCTCAATTTCCTTATCTTAGCATCACAGCACCACCACAGTTAACAGCAAGGAGGGAGAGCAGACTAAGGACCATCATTCCTCCTAACACCCTTATGAGTTAGGTGGCCCCATTCTACAGATGAAGACACTGAGGCAAATGAGTGGCCAGTCTGTGGTTGGAGCTTAAGTTGAATCTCGGCCACTCTCTACCTGCTGGTCCCTCACATGTCACCGTATCTGGCTCCCCACAGGGCTGGGACGTCCTTGGAAGAGGGGCACTGCCTGATTGACTAGTCTTCAGTGTCTGACCCCGCAGCGTGGCACACAGTGGGTGCACACAAAGGGTCAGCCGACTCAGAGGGGACTGTTACTGGCCTGGGGCATCCAATCCGGGGGATCCGAGGCAAAAGCACAGGGTCAGACTTGGCAGCTGGAGGCATGGCCCGGCTCCGTACTGGGGGAGGGCAAGAGGAGGTGAACTGCACAAGTTGTCTAACACCCTGTGCTCCCCTAAAATGGAGGCCAGTGGCGCCTCTCCGCAGAGTGGGGATCAAGGCCACAGCGATGGCAAACCCGCTTCGGGAACAGCCGGACACAAGGACAGGCGCGCGCAGGCAGCAGGGTCCACAGCCTGGGCGAAATCAGGGGGCAGGGTCGGGGAGGAGGCATGCAGAGGGAACAGGCGCCAGCTGGTCGGGTACAGAGCGCTTGGTGGAAGCCAGAAGATCCACTTTGCCCGGCCCCGCTCACGCCGGCCCTCTACCGGTTGCCCGGGCGCCACGAGCGCGCACGCACCGCGGGCGCGTACACCGGGTTAGCAGGCCAACCAATGGGGGACGGGGGCGGGGACGATGCGCGCCGACAGAGAGGTAAACATGGCCACGTGATCGACAGCCCCGCCCCCCGGGACGGGTAAACAGGCTCCCCGGGGCTGTCTGAGCCAGATCTGCGCAGGCTTCGGTCGTGCTGAGCCCGCCCCAGCTTCCCATCCCAATTTAAAGCCGTCCAAAATAAGAACATGGCAGTGTGCTCCGGCCAAGCCTGCAGGAGTGGCCTCGAACAAGTGACTCAACCGCCAAGGCCTCCGTTTACCCATCCGTGAAGTGGGGCATATCAATCGTTCTTATGGTTTAGGGCTCCGATTAGATGTGTTAAGCCATGTGAAGCACTTAAGTTTATTGTGGCACATAATAAAAGCAAATAAGCGTTAAATTAATTTCAAAAGCCCAGACAGTGCAAAAACCTGCCAGGGCTCCTATCCTGGATGGACTCTGCGGCTGCTACTGCTGTCCAAACTTAGCCTTAGATGAGAAAGAAGTACCTTCTCTGCCTCCGGCACTGCTATGAACCTCTCTTCCTGTCACTGGCAAGCCTTGGCAGGGCCCCGTGAGGACAGAGCCTCATTTTACAGGTGGGCAGATGGGAGGTGTGAGGAGGTTGGGGGCTTTGCCCTGGGTCACACAGTTGGTAAAAATATAGAACAGGGTTCAAAGGCAGCCTGGTCTGGCTCCACAGCCTGAGCACTTCCTACTGAACTGGCCATCGGGCCAACACACATGAGATCCTTGGTCACCTTTGCCAGAGCTGGCTGTGTATCAAAGGGGCTAGACCTCCAAGGGGTGGGGTCAGGCGGCCCGCAGTTCAAATCCTCCCAGCTATATGACCCTGGGCAAGGACTCCTCTGCTGAGGGCTCTGTCTCCCTATCTGTAAAACATGTTGCTATGAGTCAATTAAATGGGCCAATTCCTGATCATAAGGGCTTACTGATTGGCAGCCTGGTTATTGCTGTGCCCACTGACACTATCATTACTAAGGCTCCATGGAGGCGGTCCTCCCTAGAACAGGGGTTGGCCAACTTTTGAGACGGAAGAGCCGCCAGGGGTCAGCAAACTGCGGCTCATGAATGTGGCTCTGAAGTAAAATTAAAAATGAAAATAAAACTATCATAGTTTCATTTATGAAATTTTTAAAGGATATTATTCACATAATGGTGAATATGTAAAAATATATTTATGGCTCTCAAATAATTTCTAAATTGTTTTGAGGGACAGGATTGGCTCTTCCAGGGGTCGGCAAACCTTTGAGATGGAACGTACCCAAAGAGCCGCATGTGGCTTGTGAGCTGCAGTTTGCCGACCCCTGCCCTGGAAGATGCGGTAGTATTCACGAGTGGGAAAGGAACGCGTTCCCAAAGGGGGAAGAGCAGTCCTGGGCAGGCTGAGATGACAGTGGGGTGTCTGAGCGTCTGGGTGGGGCTGAGGGCACCTGTAGCTGATGATTAAACATCCTCTGTCTTGTGCCCCCAGCCCCTCCCTGTGCCGTTTGCTGTACCTTCCAGAACAAGCAAGATAGCTCCTCTGCCCCACCTGCTGGGGAGGAAGGGCAGTCATTTGTTTGCTACTGGGAGAGAAAACAGGCAAAAATGTAACGGCTTAACAGGAGCCTGACACAGAACGAGTGTTTCTGTAAATCATGATTTTTGTTAATATAAGCTTCTCTGGGAAGGGCCAGGAGGGGGCTGTGGAGCAGGAGAATCTGACTCCTTTCCCCACTGAGGTGGGCTCTGTCCTAGCCAAGGCTCCCAGGCCTGCAGGGAGCAGGCCTGTCCAACTCCCCATCCTCTTTCTCAGCCTCTGCCCCAAGCCAGGCCTCCTGAGAGGGGAGACTCAAGACCAAGTGAGTTACAAAGGAGTCCTGGCTCTCCCGCCTCTTCCTCTAACTGAAGCTCTGTTTTTCTCCAAATGAAGGGGACTGACACAGTGGATGGCATGAAGTGGGGACCACACTGCACGGGGTTGTAATGACCTCCCCTCTCTGGGCCTCAGTTTCCTCATCTGAGGACTGATCTAAATGATTTCTAGGTCACTTTGAGCTCCTGTTAGGAATGGACTCCCCCAGGTCCCTCTCCTGGCTTGGGGGGACCTAGAAGCCGAGATGTCTAACTATTAATAGCAAACATTTACTAAGTACTTGGGCGGCTAAGAATGTACCAGGTACTTTCTAGCCATCATCTCATCTTCACAACAATGCTGCAATGGAGGCTTTATTATTCCAGTTTGGAAATGAGGAAGCAGAGGTCCCACCATTCCCACCATGCTGGGGAACTGCCTAAGGTCTCACAGCTGTCCAGCTGTGAGCCAGGCAAGGAACCCAGGACCAAAGTGTGGGGGAGCCAGAGGTGCCCCCAGTCATCTGGTCAAACAAGGCTCCCAGAACCCTCTTGGGGGTGAGGAGTCATAAAAGGTAGTCATGAAGGCCCATCTTGTGGTCTCAGCATGTTAAGAAACAAGTGGGCCCCAGGGCTCAGGCCAGCAGAAACATGGAGGGGCTACGCCTGGAGTGCTAGGTCCTGCCCTGCTGATAGAAGCTCTTATGGGCAGACATATCCATTTGGGATGAATAAAAGTGGGAGAAGGAATTTTTAATTGATAAACACTTCTGTTTAGAGAAAAAAATCTTTCAAAAGATGGAGTCTACAGAGGAGGAAAAATGGCCAGCTGTGCCTTGAAGGCCCTCAAGCTGGGACCGCCTCTGACACAATGCCTCCTGGTATAGAAGCTAAGGCGGAGCGCGCGCCCAGGAAGCCAATGGTCCCGCTGCCTGCCCTGGGCATCTTCCTTTTCTAGCTCTCCCATGCTCTTACTGCCCCTTCACCCAGGTCAGAAGTCCACCTCTCATCTGCCCAGCGGAGGAAGGGACCCTCCTTCGGTCCCCAGGTGTTTGGGAAGAAGCAGCAAGTGCAAGAGGAATGGACAAATGCATTATCTGGTTGGCAGCCACCAACCCC